GACTGACTCCATCCAACTTGAAATGCTACCATTCAATTCACAGCTCACATTTCACTGAAGCTTTGGCTTTTTCTAGAATTAAAGGTCTGTCCTGTACAATCTCAACTGGTGCTGTGGCATACAGTTGAGTGAGCCTTCAATACTTACTCTATCATTGGCTTGAATGGAGGACATACTGGCAATGAGCAAAGTAGGATTTTCAACTCAGCAGGGAAAGGTGAAGAAGATCTCCATTATAAAGTTCAAAGTGTATGCAAGAGTAGTACAATCATAACTGAGTCAGTAAAAAAAAGTGTATGCAGGAAAGTTTTCTGAAAGTAGAATCAGAAGAGACCTACAAGCTGTTGCTTTTATGCCTTCTATTTTTGGTAGCAGAGAAATGTAGGACTGGGTCGCAATTAGTTATTATAGGAAAAGTAAGAAAGGTGAGGATGATATTCATTTGTAGAGAACTGTATCAATTTGATTTACAGCTTTCAGCTTGTAGTGTTTCTGGATTCAACCCATATATATTCAGTGGTTTTCAAACCGGCTAAAGAACCTGCATCTAGCCACCTAGAGGCTGTTAAAATAGATTGCTGAGTTGCAACCTCAGTTTTCTGATTCAACAGGTTTGAAGTGGGACCAAGAATTTGGATTTCTATATGTTCCCAGATATACAGATTCCACTTTGAGAACACTAGGTATCCAATACATGCAGTTAGCCTACTAACATTTTTTTTCAAAAGCCAGTCATAGTAAAGTCTACTAACTTTTAATAGTATCTTATACTTATTCTACTATTTATTGACAAGGTCTACTCTGCACCAGGCTGGAGTCAGTGGCGCAATCATGGCTCACTGCAGCATCAAACTCCTGGGCTCCATGATCTCCTGCTCAGCTCCTGAGTAGCTGGGACTAACAGGCACACATGCCACCCGGCTAATTTCAAAAATTTTTGTGGTAGAAGACAAAGTCTGGCGGGCGTGGCTCACGCCTGTAATTCCTAGTCTCTTGGGAGGCCGAGCGGCGGATTGCTAAGGTTCGGAGTTCAAACCAGCCTGAGCAAGAGCGAGACCCTCTTACTTAATAGAAAGAAATTAATTGGCAACTGATATATATATATATATATATATATATATATATATATATATATAAATGAGCCGGGCATGGTGGCGCATGCTGTAGTCCCAGCTACTCGGGAGGCTGAGGCAGAAAACACTCAAGCCCAGGAGTTTGAGGTTGCTGTGAGCTAGGTGACGCCACGGCACTCACTCTAGCCTGGGCAACAAAGTGAGACTCTGTCTCAAAAAAAAAAAAAAGACAAAGTCTTGCTATTGTGCTCAGACTGGTCTTGAACTTCTAGCCTCAAGTGATCCTCCTGCCTCGGCCTCCAAATGCTGGGATTAAAGAACTGAGTCACCACACCCAGCCTTTTCTACAATTTATAAGCAAACTACCAAATGAAATAGTGATAACATGGATTAAAGATCTTTGAGCCGGGGGCGCTGTGGCTCACGCCTGTAATCTAGCTCTTGGGAGGCCGAGCGGGCGGATTGCTCAAGTCAGGAGTTCAAAACCAGCCTGAGCAAGAGCGAGACCCGTCTCTACTATAAATAGAAAGAAATTAATTGGCCAACTGATATATATAAAAAATTAGCGGCATGTGGCGCATGCCTGTAGTCCCAGCTACCCCGGAGGCTGAGGCAGAAGGATCACTCGAGCCAGGAGTTTGAGGTTGCTGTGAGCTAGGCTGACGCCACGGCACTCACTCTAGCCTGGGCAACAAAGCGAGACTCTGTCTCAAAAAAAAAAAAAAAAAAAAGTATCTTTGAAATGATATATCAGTTTTGGGAGGGGCTTTCTCTAATCTTCAAAGTAGCGAAAAAAAAGTTGTTTTTAATTTTTTTAAATGAATATAAAATTCAGCAATAATAGTGAATTAAAAATTCACACAATTTGGTGTGGTGCATGCACCTATAGTCCCGCTACTGGAGAGGCTGAGGCAGGAGGATCGCTTAAGGCCAGGAGTCAAGGCTGGAGTGTTCTATGTTTGTGCCTGTGATAAGGTGCTATACTCCAGCCTGGGCAACATAGCAGACCCTGTCCCTTGAAAAAACTCACACATCTAGCGGTACAGTAACTCATGCCTGCTAATCTAGCACTCTGGGAGTGAGGCAGGCGGATTTCTCAAGGTCAGGAGTTCAAATCCAGCCTGAGCAAGAGAGAGACCCCCATCTCTACACAAATAATTAATTGACCAATAAAATATATAACAAAAAATTAGCCGGGCATGGTGGCGCATGCCTGTAGTCCCAGCTACTCAGGAGGCTGAGGCAGGAGGATCCCTTGAAATCCAATAGTTATCTTTAAGGTTAGGGTGAAGCAATTGCCAGAGGTAAACTATAAGGCTGGTGGAAAAAATCTATGCCCAGAGCATCACCATTTCAAGTTAGTAGCTGTATCACAAGGCTTAAATAAAGTAGGAAAAGGTAGAGTTGATGGTATCAGTGTTTGGTAGACATGGCATTTCATTCTGTCTCTATAAATTTGGCTAGGTATCTGGACCAGTGTTATTTTTTTTTTTCAACTCATTGCAGTATCACATCAAAAAGCAATACATAAATTACTTGTTTTCTTCCTTTTGATTTTTTTGGCATGAATATACACTTCATTCTGACTTTTTTTTTTTTTTTGGTGTTGATTCTTTCATATAAGTCAGTTTATAGTGCCATCTGTTTACTTATGTTGTTTCTTCTGCCCTAAATGCCTTTTCCCTGTCTGTATATCGAGTCACTTTCTCCACTCCACCCCCAACTCCCTGAATCCATCTTGTGAATTCATCCTTCAAGGCTCAGTTCAGAAGTCACTTCATTCAGGTTTTCTCCGGTACCCACCCCAGAGTTAGCAGTTCCTTCTTTTTTACTCCTTGTGCTGGTAGAGCATTTTTTACATTGTTTTGGAACTGTTTTCTTTCTGTCTTGTCCATTAGACCAAGCTTCTTGAGGGTAGGTGCTTTATCTTTCTATCTCTGATATGTTCCATGTTTGAGCCTATAGCTTTTATTATACCCAGGAAGTTGCTTTTTAAGAAGAAAGGGATTAAATAATCCTTTCCTCTATCCCCTAGGCAGAGAAATCTTTCTGAAGCACAAATGTGATCATATCTCACTCCAGTTTAAAACCCTTCATTGGCTCCCAGGGCCCTCAGGGTTAAGTCCAAACCCCTTACATAGCTTGCCAAATCTTTTACAGTCAGGCTTCTGATAACCTTCTGTAGCTTCATTTCATGCTCTTTTCCCCTCAAATTCTTTGCCTAAGCTTTACCTGTACACTTGCAGGCCATGTTCTGTTTCTTCTCTTAGAGCTTGCTGATGCCATTTCCTCTACCCAGAACATGCTTCTTTTATTTCCCCTATCCCCCAAGGCCTTCTCTCTCCAAGTTAACTCCTAACTCATCTTTTAGGCACCAGTTTAAGAATGACTTCCTCTGGGAGGCTTTCCTTTATGCGTGCGTACGTGCACACACTTGCACACACCCTTCCTGTGCTTTCATAACACATTGTAATTACCTTCATCATAATATAATTTCCTGTTTACTGGTGTTCCTTACTTGTATATGAACTATTGGGGGCCTGAGGTCTATATATTTGTTAATTGTATCTCTAGTGCCTAGAACCTAGTTAAGAATTCAGTAAGTATTTGTTGAATAAAATTAAGCTGTTTCCCAAACATGTGTTCAGAATAGTGTTCCCCAGGATATTAAAAAGGATGCCATGAAAAAGGGGCTCCAAGGTTAAATAGGGAAATGCATTGTACATTTCCAAGCGGGAGCATATACTATACTGTACTACATTGTAGTGGGTGGCAATGGTTCCCAAATACCAGTATGCCCGACCCCAGAAATTTTAGATTCTGTGATTGGGGCCCAGGAATCTGTTGTTTAAAAATGCCAGAAGTTACTCTTATATGAGGCCAGATTTTTAAACCACGGGTATACAATGATTACAAAGATAGTTAAAATGTGTAATGCATTTGGAATAATGCCTAGCACATGGTATTTATGCTATATTACTGTTAACTGGTGCTGCTTCTGCTTTTGTTATCATTAGAGTTATAAATGACCATGATACACTTTTTTGGCATATTTGTTAACATTTCACAAAACCTATTTTGGAAAAGACTGAATTAAGCAAGTACTTCAGTGCCACCTATATGCTGATGACACCAAATCTCTATCTCTAGCCCTGACTTCTCCCGACCTCAAGATTTGACTCTCTAGTTGCCTACTGGGTATTTTTATATGGATGTCCTGCAAACACCTCAAAAACATCTGAAAATCCCAAACCTGTACCTCCTTCTATATTTCCTATTGACATCACCATAGCTTTGTCAGCCAAGCTAGCAATCAGCTTTAGTTCCTCTTTCTTCCTCAGCCATCAGATTCAGTCAATTACCAAATCCTACTTATCCCATGTCAGAAATGTCCCTCAAATCCATCCGTCCATTTCTGGAATCAGTCATGCCCTTTCCATATGCTACTTTTACCTGACCCTTCCTTTTCTGCCTGGGAAATTGCTGTCCATGTATAAATGTCACTCCTCTACTTTCCCCCTCCCCCAACCCAGCTGCTGCCAACCCGTGAAGCGTTCCCTAACTAGCCTGAACAGAAGAACTTGTTCTCTCATCTTGTCCCAGGGCACTTTGTACGTAACTTTATTATAGCACTTATCACTTTGTACTTTGCGCTTACCTCTGTAGCCTCATCTTACATCCTCTCCCACTGGCATGCAAGTTGTTTAAGAGCAGATGCCATGTGTGAGTCATCCCCATATCTCCTGGCACTAGTCCAGTGCCTGGCACATACTAGGGGCTCAGTACATGTTTCAATGAACTAAAACAATTAAGAAAGTGTAAAACTAGCATTATTCTTTTCTTTTTGTGCAGAGATTAGTACTGAAGAGCAGCTAAGGCGCCTGCAAGAGGAGAAGCTTTGCAAAATCTGTATGGATAGAAATATTGCTGTAGTTTTTATTCCTTGTGGACATCTGGTCACTTGTAAACAATGTGCTGAAGCAGTTGACAAATGCCCCATGTGCTACACAATCATTACTTTCAAGCAAAAAATTTTTATGTCTTGATCTGACTCCACAGTAGGCATGTTATGTTCTTCTTATTATCCTGATTGATTGTGTGATGTGAACCGACTTTAAGTAATCAGCATTGAATTCCATTAGCATTTGCTGCCAAGTATAAAAAAAATGTAAATGGCAATGTCTTAGTTGACTTCTGCTATTCTTTCACTCCATTTCTCTACGCAAAAGAACATAAACATTCGCCTCTTAATACTAAAATGTGACCTCCTAAATAATAACCTCTTCATGCCCATCCGACCCATCCCACGGGCACTCAAGCGCGTACCCATACCATGCCCGTCTGTCAATGTTGTAAGAAGAAAGACACACACATCGGCCTTTCAATTAATGTTATGGAATTCCTATACGCCAGCCACATCGAAGTCAACATTCTTTTTTTTTTCTCACCGTACCACTACATGCGTACCCAGTGCCACTACTCTGTTAATGTTCTAAACATAGGAACACCCCTCTCCCATAACAGATTGCTTGGTTCCCAAGAGATACGCTATGAGTCCACTATAGCAAATCTTAATCAACAATGTCAGCACATGAACCCTAAAAGCCACCTGTCCTTAGACGCAGGCCAGCGCAAAGGATTTCTGTGCAGTTCCTGTAGAACAAGCTGACCAGCCAGCGAGTTTCAATAACTCACAGGCAATCTGGTGGGATAGGAACACAAGCGCAATAAAGGACTCCTTGGCAGACAGCGCAAATTTAAGTAATAGATACTTTCAAGTGCCTAGTCCTACCCACCCACATGGCATTCCTAAATTCGAAGAGTTGACTCAGGCGGGCGCTGTGCCACGCCTGTCAAGCCTCTAGCTCTTGGGAGGGCCGAGGCGGGCGCGCCATCTGCTCAAGTTCAGGCGCAGTTCAAACAGCCGGAGCAAGAGCGAGCCCCCCCGTCTCTACAAATAAACCGAAAAACCGAATTCAACTGCCAACTGCATACTCAGTACAAAATACACCATAAACAACACAACACCGCATCGTGGCAGCATGCCTGTAGTCCCAGCTACCCGGGAACTGAGCAGAAGGTCACCCTCGAGCCAGGAGTTTGAGGTTGCCTGTCAAGCACACACAACAAAAACACACCCCTCTAGCCTGGGCAACAAACGAGACCTGTCCTCAAAAAACCAAAAACAAAGATTTATTCAGCCTGACGTACTCTCACTACCATCTCGTGAGCCACTTAGCTTCCCCTTGATCAGTTAGTACCCAGCTTCGACCTGTGAGTACATGTGTACATGTTTTCCAATCCTGGACTACACTCACTTCAAGGTGGGCTCAATCCTAATCCAGATAATATAAAGGTCTGATCACACATTGTTTTTGTAGTTGATAACCCCAGCAGCTAATGGCAACGGGCACCACTGTATGGGCGACAGACTGCTTAGCCCTGGCAGTGAGTGAAGCAATTCTCCTTTCATGTAACAAATGTTCTGTACCGGCCCTAATATCCGCATTAAAAAATAGAATTCTTGTGAGGTGCCAGATATTTTAGCACCTGATTGTGTGCAATGATATCATGGATCGTTCCATATTTCATTCATCAAAATTGTCATTTTCATATATTAATACACTCAAGACACTTCAAAAATAAATCAACTTTTCTTAAAAGACCCCACTGATTTGAGCTACTCTATGATAGGAACTGGTTATCTGCTCTTGACAGTCGTTATCACTGTTACCTGAGATAAACCTTGTCGACTTTTTTTCTTTCTTTTTTTTTTTTCTTTCTTTTTCTTTTTTTTTCTTCCTCCCCCCCCCCCTTTCCCGCCTCTTTTCTTCCCCCCTTCCTTTTCCCCCCCTTCCTCTCTTCCTTTCCCCCTCTTTTTTTTTTTCTTGTTTTTTTTTTTTTCTTCGCCTTAAATGCAGTCCATTTTTTTGCATGTCCAACTACACTGTCCCATTAATATTATAGCAAACGATAGTGAAACTCAAAGCTTCCTATTACAGAAATTTTCAAACTTTAACAGAACAGTGAAAAGAAAGTATAATGGAACCCATCGGGTACTCACCTCAACAATCTATCACCATTTTGCCAGCTCTTGTTTCATCTAGGCTTCTCAACCTCCCTGCCCACCCCCTCATCCACCCACTGGCACACTTTAAACCCTAGACATAATGGGTCATTCTCCTGTAATTACCACTCATTCTGTATTATCTAACAGAGAAGAAAAAAATACCCAGATGCTGTCCGCAATTTTTATTATTTTTGATGTTGTCTAGTTTGTGAGACAGAGTCTCTCACTCCCCCCCCCCCCCACCTGTTCTGACCATGGGCTTAAGTGCCGTGGCAATCAGCCTACGCTCACAGCAACCTCAAACTCCTGGCTCCAAGGGATCCTCCTGCCGTCAGCCTCCAAGTAGCCGACTACAGCATGCGCCACCATCGCCTCGGCTAATGTTTTGTG